ATGGTTTTGTTTGGGTCGAATCCTTCAGAGTCACAACGATGCGTATTCTATCGCTTATTTAATCCCAATTGACCCCTCTCATCTATACCATACCCTCACATTCTTGGCCGTGCACATCATCATCCTTATACTCATCTCCCATTTACTTTGTATTCGAACAACCTGTACACACATCCCCTGTACTGTCCTGCAAATTTAGGATGCTCTATCTACAGCCATTTTCGAGGCCGTTCCCGGAGGAGTGTTGCTGTTGGAGGCTGGCGTGTATTACGAGAGTAAAACGTTAGCCATGGACAAACCGTTAACCATCCGCGGAGTGGGTCCACAGACAGTCATTGCGCTGGACGGTACACGTAGTCCGGTTGCGTTCGTAAACATGTAAGTGCCTTGCTTAGATATAGTGACGATCATTGTGTGTACAGTCGCCTACACCTTACAAGCCACTTCTATCTACATAGAAAGTAATCCGCACATACGTCCGAGGAAAACAAGCCAGTTTACGGTGAACTCTTATCTGGAGATAAACTCAGGTTTTTTTCTCCTGTGCTTGACTTATCCTTATCCACACAGGAACTCATTCTCTCTGATAGTCGACTCCTTCTCCATCCTGGACACTAACAACAATATCACGTGCGTGTTTGCCGATGGCAAAACGTACGACAGCGACGTTACTCAGCCGGTTGTAAACCACGTCGGTGTCCCTACAGTGGCTGGGCCGAATATCATTCGCAATACCATGCACATACAGCCGTGGGCCAGTAACAGGTATATATATATGTATGCATGTATGTGATATATATATTATGTATGCATGCATGTGATATATATATATATATATATATTCTACACACACACTGGTATAATATGCTTCGCAGAAGTGGCCCCACAAACATATATACATGGTCACTAATATATGGAGGTGCATCTATAGGCACGACTACATACCGGTGTGATACTAATTCCCACCTACACGCACACACTCACGCACGTTTACAGGCACGTGCGTAGTGTCAACTACGGCTCGTGTACGTCAACACTCGACACAGATGTGCTGGGTATGCTGTGGCTGGAGATTGACATTCAGTGCTCAGTTACCATTGGCTTTGCCGAGATCTTGACAGGCTTAGGTATGCGGACTGCGAGGAAGTTTGTTTTTAGATTGGAGGTTCTATTTATAGAATGCGTTGGTAACAGCTGAGCGCATCTCTTCCTTGGTCTTTTGATACGTACACAGGATTCACCATAATTAACGTTAAACGCGCCAGAAGCGCTTGCAGTGGCATTGACTCTTTTGTTTGTGTCTGTCTTCCGCACGCACGGGGTATTCGTATCTGTGTGTGTACACAATACGTTGACACGCTATCGCGCTTGCGGCACTTAGTTTGTTAGTATGTGTGATGTTCTTTGCCCGGACTGATGAACACTCTGACGTGATACCAGCATAGTTAACGGATAGGCACATACTCTACATGATACTCAAGTTGATCTCTGAGTGCATGTGATAGCCTTGGCATTCCTTGTATATCTGGACTAAATACAGTACTATACGAATGATCTCATGCCGTTTGTATTCATCTTCATGCCCACAGACACCTGTAATGTGTTTGTAGAGACCATCGACGGCCGCACTGAGACACACGGTGCAATTGAAGTGCATGTATCGGACCACTACCAACGCCCACTCTCCACCGAAGAAATCAAGGCCCGGGTAAGGGATAGGCTTACTGATATAGTTGTTGGAGAATGCG